GCCCAGGACCGGTTCAGATAATCGTGATTCGTCTTGGCCGCGAGCGGGAATCGAACTCAGGTCGCCAGGTCCGTAGGGCAGCGTAGCGCTAACCGCTGAACCACCGCAAATCTGAGATCAGATTTGGAATCGGCACCCTGAAATTAGTCTAGAACAGCCTGCAAAAGTCCAGGCCGGAAAAACATGTTTTTGTTGTTGTTGTTGTTCTACTTTTTGGTTCTTTCGGTAAAGTCACGTATAAAGATAAAATAATAAATTAAATCCTAGCATACGACGTTTCGATTGCAACACAAGCAATCATCATCAGGTATAAATGAAATAGAAACACAAAATCTAACCAGATATCACCAAGATACTCTCTCTATGTATCTTGGTGATATCTGTCTGCTTGTATGTCTGTCTATAGTCTTCTGGTTAGATTTTTTGTTGCTATTTCATCTATGCCTGATGATGATTGCTTGTGTTGCAATCGAAACGTCGTAGTGTGCTAGTATTTAATTTATTATTTTATCTTTACACGTGACTTTACCCAAAGAACCAAAGAGTAATTTCTGCAGTCACGAAAGCTCCAATTTTTTGTTGTTGTTGTTGACCAGTGTAAAACCCGTTGTCCACGTTCTTGACAGATGAAAGCAACAAGATCGTGGTGGTTCCAGGGAACGCTCTGCACGTGATCCGTGGCAAGAAACCCGAGTTGAAGCGTTGGCTCAGCAGGAACCCATCGCACTTTCTGGATGAGCTGAACACAAAGACGTTCGTTTCAAATGAGGTCCTCTCCAAAGCCAAGAAGAATCCCCAACAGTTGGAGGGCGTGTGTTTGCTGCTCGACTACTTCATTGACGGAGGCGAGCGAAAGTGTCAGAAGCTGCTGGAAACGCTCCAAGACCTCAAGGAACAATATCCAGAAATAAAGCACTGGCTTCACCGCCTTGGTACGTGTGCTAAGAATAATAACGATATTAGCAGTGTCTGAAGTTCAAGATAGAGCTGGAACAATAATCTGCTTGGTTCTTTCAGTAAAGTCACGTAGAAGGGAAGTAATAAAATAATAAAAATAAAACACAATAGAATAATTCTCACGACGTTTCGGCCATTTTATTGTGTTTTATTTTTATTATTTTATTATTTCCCTTCTACGTGACGACTTTACCGAAAGAACCAAGAAGATGAATCCCTGCAGTCACGAAAGCTTTAAATCGAAACTGGAACAATAAGTTAAAGCTGATTGATGGATGAAACATCGTAATTAACTAAGGGCCCTTTTGATTCTAGATGTGAAACTTTCGTGACTGCAAGGATTCATATTCTTAGGCTTTTTCGGTAAAGTCACGTAGGTAAAAAATTAACATTAATAAAAGTAAAATAAAAATAAAAATCACGACGTTTCGGAGGCAACACAAGCTTCCGTCTTCAGGTGGAACAGTCACAGCACTTGATACAGCTGTCGTGCTGTGACGGTTCCACCTGAAGATGGAAGCTTGTGTTGCCTCCAAAACGTCGTGATTTTTATTTTATTAAATCATTTATATTAAGTTCACTTGCTTGCGCGCTTACGACCGTGCAAATCTTTCGGTCGTTTTTTAACCCACTTCCCGTGATCCAATCGAGCTGACACTTTGCACACAGACTCGTTGTGCGTGACAATTTATTTTCGTGAAACATTTTTCCAAATTTTTACACGTTTTAGGAAAAAAAAATTATATTTAATTACCAATTGCTTAATGGTGGCAGGCAATCATCTGACCCATAGGTGGCAGCCATCTCAAGCTAGAGGACGAGAGGACTCTAGCCGCCACGCACATAAAGGATTTATAGTTAAAAACTTTGTTTTTACGGGTTAATTTTTTATGATTGATGCTTTCCACATTGGCTTGACGGAGTTCATTCCTTAGCTCTGTCTGTCCACACATTTAATTGACTGCAACAGGGCACCACAATAACTCTCATAATGAAAATCAAATATATAGCAAATGATTATCAAGTATGTGATGTAATTATAAGCTTGCTTTAGAAAAGTTGTCGAAAACCTGATGTAAAATTGGCAAAATGGCTATTTGTTGATGTGCAAAAAATATTGTCGGTTACCCAATGACTTCCGATTCTGTTAAACTGCTGAAGACAAAAAGCATCTCTCTCAACTACCGCATAATCCTCGTGCGCGCCTGTTTTTTTTACGAACCCGTTGCCTCACGATCACACCACAGAGGACGAGGCACAGATTGTGGTTGTGGAGGAGGACATCGAAGAGCAGATCTCTCGCAACCGGGACAACCTCATCCAGTGGATCTCCAAAGACCCAACGTTCCTCCTGGACGAGATGGACAGCAAGTGGTACATCGAGCGGCGCGTCTACACCCAAGTCAGAGACAAGAGGGATGGCTTAGAGTGTGCCAGCTTCCTGCTCGACCACTTCATGTCCGGAGGACAGGGCTACCAGAAGCTGCTTGTGGCGCTGAGGGCCGTCCAGAGACACTACGACCCCAAGCTACGTACCTGGCTGGATAAGCTAAGTGAGAAATTTATGTGTATTTTTTTAATCCTTTATATTAAGTTCACTTGCTTGCTTGCTTACGCGCTTACGACCGGTCAAATCTTTCGGTCGTTTTTTAACCCAATTCCCGTGATCCAATTGAGCTGACATTTTGCACACAGACTCGTTGTGCGAGACAATTAATGTTCGTGAAAATTTTTCCCAAAATTTTACACTTTTTAGGAATTTTTTTTTTCATATTTAATTTAAAATACCAATGTGATAAAAATGATATTCTTACTCAAGAAAAACAGAAACGAATAATAAAATAAAACCGATGCCACGCATATAAAGGATTTATAGTGAAAAACTTTGTTTTTACGGGTTCATTTTTTTAAATTTTACTTTTATTCATTTACATTTTTTACCTACGTGACTTTACCGAAAAAAACCTAAGAATATGAATCATTGCAGTCACGAAAGCTTCAAATCTAGAAGCTCAGTGAGCTCTTTTTGGTTCTTTCGGTAAAGTCACGTAGAAGGGAAGTAATAAAATAATACAAATAAACATAATAAAATAATTCTCACGACGTTTCGGCCACAACGCAAGCAGCCGTCCTCAGGTGAAGAACAGGTCTGTCGGGGAGACAGCGTCTGAATGAAACACCACCAGGCTTGGCAGCATATATGTTTTATTCAGACGCTGTCTCCCCGACAGACCTGTTCTTCACCTGAGGACGGCTGCTTGCGTTGTGGCCGAAACGTCGTGAGAATTATCTTATTATGTTTAATTTTTATTATTTTATTATTTCCCTTCTACGTGACTTTACCGAAAGAACCAAGAATATGAATCCCTGCAGTCACGAAAGCTTTACATCGAAATTCATGTTTTTTTTCTTCAAATGTTCGTGCTGTGGTTTTCACACCTGATGATGATTGCTGCTTGTGTTGCAATCGAAGCGTCGTGAGAATTTTATGTTTTATATTTTTATTATTTATTATTTCACTTCTGCGTAACTTTACCGAAAGAACCAGGAAGATGAATCCCTGCAGTCACGAACAGCTTTAAATCTAGAAGCTAAGTGAGCTCGGCGCAATGTATTGTGCTCAGAGGTCGTAGTTTTGAGGTTGAGCAGCCAACCTGGTTAATGCTTTAGGTGTCTTCATTGTTACTACCCGATGCACCTTTAATAACCCTTTCCCGTTCCAATGAGGTACGTGTACGTATGTGTACGTCATCAGTTTTCCTTCCGATTCAATTCCGTTCTGAAATGGAACTGGGAACAAAAAAAATTCAAGTAACTTTAATTCTAGATGCGAAGCTTTCGTGACTGCAAGGATTCATACTCTTGGGTTTTTTCCGGTAAAGTCACGTAGGTAAAATATAATAATAAAATAATAACCATTAAAAATAATTAAAATAATAGAAATAATACAAGATTTCTATTATATAAATAAATAATAAAAAGACAATTTTTTTAAGTTATAGAAATAATACTATATTTCTAGTATATAAATAAATAATAAAATGCCAAATACAAAAAATTATAGAAATAATACTAGCTTTCTATTATTTAAATAAATAATAAAAATTCGTATGCTGAAAACTTCTACTAGATTTCGATTATATAAATAAATAAAATAAAACATGATAGAAAATAATACAAATAATACTAGATTTCTATTATAAAACTAAATAAATATATATAATTTAAAAAACTAGGAATATAAATACTAATAGATTTCTATTACTTTATTATTTATTTTTATTACTTATTTTTCACCTACTTACCTTTACCTGAAAAAACCTAAGCGTATCAAGTAACTTGATGGGAACAGAGGCTCCCACACCGCCATGCAGCAGAGCGTGTGTGGCACAGTTTTGGTGCACCGGCTGTCGTAGAGTGGCGGTGGTCGTGTTGCTACAGTTCTCTGCGGTGAGTACCGATGGCGTCGTAGAAACAAAATGGCGTCGCTGCCACGCCTCTCTAAACAAAATGGCGTCGCTGCCACGTCTCTCTAAACAAAATGGCGCCGCTGCCACGCCTCTCTAAACAAAATGGACGCCGCCGCCACGCCTCACTAAACAAAATGGCGTCGCTGCCACGTCTCTCTAAACAAAATGGTGTCGCTGCCACGTCTCTCTAAACAAAATGGCGCCGCTGCCACGCTCTCTAAACAAAATGGCGTCGCTGCCACGTCTCTCTAAACAAAATGGCGTCGCTGCCACGCTCTCTAAACAAAATGGCGTCGCTGCCACGTCTCTCTAAACAAAATGGCGTCGCTGCCACGTCTCTCTAAACAAAATGGCGTCGCTGCCACGCCTCTCTAAACAAAATGGCGCCGCTGCCACGCTCTCTAAACAAAATGGCGCGCTGCCACGCCTCTCTAAACAAAATGGCGCGCTGCCACGCCTCTCTAAACAAAATGGCGCCGCTGCCACGCCTCTCTAAACAAAATGGCGTCGCTGCCACGTCTCTCTAAACAAAATGGCGCCGCTGCCACGCCTCTCTAAACAAAATGGACGCCGCTGCCACGCCTCTCTAAACAAAATACGCCGCTGCCACGCCTCTCTAAACAAAATGGCGCCGCTGCCACGCCTCTCTAAACAAATGGCGCCGCTGCCACGCCTCTTTAAACAAAATGGCGCCGCTGCTACGCCTCTCTAAACAATGGCGCCGCTGCCACGCCTCTTAAACAAATGGCGCCGCTGCCACGCCTCTCTAAACAAAATGGACGCCGCTGCCACGCCTCTCTAAACAAATGGCGCCGCTGCCACGCCTCTCTAAACAAAATGGACGCCGCTGCCACGCCTCTCTAAACAAAATGGACGCCGCTGCCACGCCTCTCTAAACAAAATGGACGCCGCTGCCACGCCTCTCTAAACAAAATGGCGCCGCTGCCACGCCTCTCTAAACAAAATGGACGCTGCTGCCACGCCTCTCTAAACAAAATGGACGCCGCTGCCACGCCTCTCTAAACAAAATGGACGCCGCTGCCACGCCTCTTTAAACAAAATGGCGCCGCTGCCACGCCTCTCTAAACAAAATGGACGCTGCTGCCACGCCTCTCTAAACAAAATGGACGCCGCTGCCACGCCTCTCTAAACAAAATGGACGCCGCTGCCACGCCTCTTAAACAAAATGGCGCCGCTGCCACGCCTCTCTAAACAAATGGACGCCGCTGCCACGCCTCTCTAAAACAAAATGGACGCCGCTGCCACGCCTCTTAAACAAATGGCGCCGCTGCCACGCTCTCTAAACAAAATGGACGCTGCTGCCACGCCTCTCTAAACAAAATGGCGCCGCTGCCACGCTCTCTAAACAAAATGGCGCCGCTGCCACGCCTCTCTAAACAAAATGGCGCCGCTGCCACGCCTCTCTAAACAAAATGGCGTCCGCTGCCACGTCTCTAAACAAAATGGCGTCGCTGCCACGTCTCTCTAAACAAAATGGCGCCGCTGCCACGTCTCTCTAAACAAAATGGCGCCGCTGCCACGTCCTCTCTAAACAAAATGGCGTCGCTGCCACGTCTCCTAAACAAAATGGCGCCGCTGCCACGCCTCTCTAAACAAAATGGCGCCGCTGCCACGTCTCTAAACAAAATGGCGCCGCTGCCACGCCTCTCTAAACAAAATGGCGTCGCTGCCACGCCTCTCTAAACAAAATGGCGCCGCTGCCACGCCTCTCTAAACAAAATGGCGCCGCTGCCACGCCTCTCTAAACAAAATGGCGTCGCGCTGCCACGCCTCTCTAAACAAAATGGCGGCGCTGCCACGCCTCTAAACAAAATGGCGCCGCTGCCACGCCTCTCTAAACAAAATGGCGCCGCTGCCACGCCTCTCTAAACAAAATGGCGTCGCTGCCACGCCTCTCTAAACAAAATGGCGCCGCTGCCACGCCTCTCTAAACAAAATGGCGCCGCTGCCACGTCTCTCTAAACAAAATGGCGCCGCTGCCACGCCTCTCTAAACAAAATGGCGTCGCTGCCACGTCCTCTAAACAAAATGGCGCCGCTGCCATGCCTCTCTAAACAAAATGGACGCCAAGCTGCTTGCAAACGTCTCGGAACTTGAAGGGTCAACGACATTAACAATCGCAGCGGTTGTGACGTGACCCAGTGGTCTAGCAAACCGAAGCCGTGTTCATTTCGACCGATGTATCAAGAGGTCCTTGCAGTGACGCTACTACTGTTTACATCTTCTTGTTCTTTCGGTAAAGTCACGTAGAAGGGAAGTAATAAAATGATAAAATTAAACGTAATAAATAATTCTCACGACATTTCGGCCACAACGCAAGTAGCCGTCCTCAGGTGAAGACCAGTTCTGTCGGGGAGACAGCGTCCGACTTATTTTACTATGTTTTATTTTTATTATTTTATTATTTCCCTTCTTCGTGACTTTACCGAAAGAACCAACAAGATTCATAATCTAATAATAAAAATGAAACATAATAAAATACAATTCTCACGACGTTTCGGCCACAACGCAAGCAGCCGCCTCAGGTGAAGAACATGTCTGTCGGGGAGACAGCGTCTGAATGGACGCTGTCTCCCGACAGACCTGTCTTCACTGAGGACGGCTGCTTGCGTTTTGGCCGAAACGTCGTGAGAATTATTTTTATTATGTTTAATTTTTATTATTTTATTATTTCCATTCTACGTGATGACTTACCGAAAGAACCAAGAAGATGAATCCCTGCAGTCACGAAAGCTTTAAATCGATACTGTTGTACAGATTGTGTTGCCAAGGTAATGATGTAATATTAATATAATTGCAATTTACCACACGCACAAGATTTTATGGACGTAATAACCGCAACTCTGAGGCACGGAGCCAGGCTCGCATCCCTTGAGAGTTGGTCGCAGAGTTTGCAACCGGGTACCCGATACCCGTACCCTACCCGATACCCGGCTATCCCATACCCGGCCGGGTACGGGTACGGGTACCCGTTGCGACCCTGGTGTGGCGGGTACGGGTACGGGTAGGCCGTGAGTCACTGGGGAGTCACCGTTTTGTCACTCATTTTCCCAACGTCTTGTCTCTTCTCACAATTCAAGTTCCTAGAATCAACCCACCCGCGCCCTGCAACATGGCTTCATCCCAGAGGTCGCAATTGGGTACCCGATACCTGTACCCTACCCGATACCCGGCCGGGTACGGGTAGGGTACGGGTATCGGGTATGGGTAGGGTACGGGTACGGCCAGGTACGGGTACCTGTTTGCAACCCTGGTGCGGCCGGGTACGGGTAAGGAATCAAAACCCGTTTGCGACCTCTGGTTGGTGGCTCAGAAGTTTATTTTAAAATGTAACACCGTAGTCATAGAGGCTTTCGCGATCAACATTACTCATAGTAACGTTCTTTTGGGTGGGAGGGGGGGGCGGTGAAATGACGTAAATGTGTCATAAACTCAACGTTAAATTTCGATTTAAAGCTTTCGTGACTGCAGGGATTCATCTTCTTGGTTCTTTCGGTAAAGTCACGTAGAATGGAAATAATAAAATAATAAAAATGAACATACTAAAATACAATTCTCACGACGTTTCGGCCACAACGCAAGCAGCCGTCCTCAGGTGGAGACCATGTCTGTTCTTCACCTGAGGACGGCTGCTTGCGTTGTGGCCGAACCGTCGTGAGAATTGTATTTTATTATGTTTTTGTTATTTTATTATTTACAGAACCAAGAAGAAAAAACTCAACGTTTACATCGCTCAGACTACGAAGTCGTGGGCCTCATATGTCCCACTGCCTGTTGGTTCACCCTTCCCTGCCCCACGTGATTTTTGATGAGATGTGTGTTTTCACGCGTGAAGCTGCAACGGCTAAAAAACAAGAATTGTGACATTTTCACTGTCGTTTCCAACGTGTGCTTGTTGTTACAGAATGTCCGGGTGCAACCGGTTCTCCAACTGTCCGTGGCAAGTCAAGCAACGATATAAAACACACTTCACGTCAACAGCAAGCATAGGCATAGCCAGCAGTGGGAAAAAAGAAAGCCTATTTACTGAGTACAGTACTCTATACTGTAGGCGACTGCCAAATGTATACAGCGGTACCTCGGTTAACAGTGACATGGGTTTTTAAATCCTTTATATAAGTTCGCATGCTTGCGTGCTTGCTTGCTTGCTTGCGACCATGCAATCTTTCGGTCGTTTTTTAACCCACTTCCCGTGATCCAATCGAGCTGACATTTTGCACCACAGACTCGTTGTGCGAGACAATTAATGTTCGTGAAATTAAAATTTACCAAAATTTTACACTTTTTAGGGAAAACAAATTAAATATTTAATTACCAATTGCTTAATACTGGCAGACAATCATCTGACCCATAGGTGGCAGCCATCTCAAGCCAGAGGACGAGAGGACTCTAGCCGCCACGCATATAAAGGATTTAGAGTGAAAAACTTTGTTTTTACGGGTTATACTTGTTCAGTTATTGTTTCACCTCCCATAGGACCCCACGACTAACGTTAAAATGCTGACTAAAGCTTCGTGGTTACGTTATAATAATAATAGTTTAACTAGTAGGCTTTCGGGACACAATAGTATACATAATATAGTTTTTTGGGGTTAGATCGTGCAAGTATAAATGTGTCGTAACTCTCCACCACCTGACAGACAGTTCGTAAGGGATTTGTTACATAAACAAAACGCCAATTAGTTACTACTTCAGCTCACCAGTGTGTTGGGAGAGTAAGCGTATTATTAAGTGAAACGTCTTACAAGTACAATTCCTGTAGAGGAAACAATGCTAATTAACTGATTACTAATCTACTACAAACAATAAAATGTGATGTGTCGCTAGGAACAATCCCCTAAGCCTAACATTACAAACATATCTAAAAGAAATGTATAAACCATTTACGTACATTATTATACTTTAAACACTATCAAATATGATTTTTAAAAAGCCTAGTACGATTACAGTTATGGAGAGGGGTCTCCAATATGTGTTGTGGAAAAGGACTGTAAAGTTGCTACTCATAACTAAACGATGTACAACGTGGAATGTTCTTCATAAGAGCATGGACATTGCCTGTGCCACCTCGTTGAGGTGCTATCATTTGTGATAGAAGGGTCGCTTCTGAAACAGAACTGTACAGCTCAATGGGACCTTACCTGGTATAAAAATAGTTTTAATAGATGAGAGGGGGGAGGTAGGAGAGTGCGTGGAGGGGAGTGGAGTAAGATGACAGGGGAGAGGCAGGAGAGTGAGTGGAGTAGAGTGAGATGAGAGGGGAGAGGCAGGAGAGTGCGTGGAGGGGAGTAGAGTGAGATGAGAGGGGAGAGGTAGGAGAGTGCGTGGAGGGGAGTAGAGTGAGATGAGAGGGGAGAGGTAGGAGAGTGCGTGGAGGGGAGTGGAGTGAGATGAGAGGAGAGAGACAGGAGAGTGCGTGGAGGGGAGTAGAATGAGATGAGAGGGGAGAGGTAGGAGAGTGAATGGAGGGGAGTAGAGTGAGATGGGAGGGGAGAGGTAGGAGAGTGCGTGGAGGGGAGTGGAGTGAGATGAGAGGGGAGAGTTAGGAGAGTGCGTGGAGGGGAGTGGAGTGAGATGAGAGGGGAGAGGTCGGAGAGTGAGTGAGGGGAGTAGAGTGAGATGAGAGGGGAGAGGCAGGAGAGTGAATGGAGGGAGTAGAGTGAGATGAGAGGGGAGAGGTAGGAGATTGCGTGGAGGGGAGTGGAGTGAGATGAGAGGGGAGAGGTAGGAGAGTGCGTGGAGGGGAGTAGAGTGAGATGAGAGGGGAGAGGCAGGAGAGTGCGTGGAGGGGAGTGGAGTGAGATGAGAGGGGAGAGGCAGGAGAGTGCGTGGAGGGGAGTGGAGTGAGATGAGAGGGGAGAGGTAGGAGAGTGCGTGGAGGTGAGTGGAGTGAGATGAGAGGGGAGAGGTAGGAGAGTGCGTGGAGGGGAGTGGAGTGAGATGAGAGGGAGAGGCAGGAGAGTGCGTGGAGGGGAGTGGAGGGAGATGAGAGGGGAGAGGCAGGAGAGTGCGTGGAGGGGAGTGGAGTGAGATGAGAGGGGAGTGGAGTGAGAGTGCGTGGAGGGGAGTAGAGTGAGATGAGAGGGGAGAGGTAGGAGAGTGCGTGGAGGGAGTAGAGTGAGATGAGAGGGGAGAGGCAGGAGAGTGAATGGAGGGGAGTAGAGTGAGATGAGAGGGGAGAGGTAGGAGAGTGCGTGGAGGGGAGTGGAGTGAGATGAGAGGGGAGAGGTAGGAGAGTGAGTGGAGGGGAGTGGAGTGAGATGAGAGGGGAGAGGCAGGAGAGTGCGTGGAGGGGAGTGGAGTGAGATGAGAGAGGAGAGGTAGGAGAGTGCGTGGAGGGGAGTGGAGTGAGATGAGAGGGGAGAAGTAGGAGAGGAGTGAGATGAGAGGAGAGAGACAGGAGAGTGAGTGGAGGGGAGTAGAGTGAGATGAGAGGGGAGAGGTAGGAGAGTGAGTGGAGGGGAGTAGAGTGAGATGAGAGGGGAGAGGTAGGAGAGTGAGTGGCAGAGGTGGGACAAAGTCATTGTTATGCAAGTCCAAGTCGAGTCTGAAGTCATCAAATTCATGACTCGAGTCTGACTCGAGTCCAAGTCACATGACTCGAGTCCACACCTCTGGTGAGTGGAGGGGAGTGGAGTGAGATGAGAGGGGAGAGGTAGGAGAGTGCGTGGAGGGGAGTAGAGAGAGATGAGAGGGGAGAGGTAGGAGAGTGAATGGAGGGGAGTAGAGTGAGATGAGAGGCAGGAGAGTGAGTGGAGGGGAGTGGAGTGAGACGAGAGGGGAGAGGTAGGAGAGTGAGTGGAGGGGAGTAGAGTGAGATGAGAGGGGAGAGGTAGGAGAGTGAATGGAGGGGAGTAGAGTGAGATGAGAGGGGAGAGGTAGGAGAGTGCGTGGAGGGGAGTAGAGTGAGATGAGAGTGGAGAGGCAGGAGAGTGCGTGGAGGGGAGTAGAGTGAGATGAGAGGGGAGAGGCAGGAGAGCGCGTGAGGGGAGTGGAGTGAGATGAGAGGGGAGAGGCAGGAGAGTGCGTGGAGGGGAGTGGAGTGAGATGAGAGGGGAGAGGCAGGAGAGTGCGTGGAGGGGAGTGGAGTGAGATGAGAGGGGAGAGGCAGGAGAGTGCGTGGAGGGGAGTAGAGTGAGATGAGAGGGGAGAGGCAGGAGAGTGCGTGGAGGGGAGTAGAGTGAGATGAGAGGGGAGAGGCAGGAGAGTGCGTGGAGGGGAGTAGAGTGAGATGAGAGGGGAGAGGCAGGAGAGTGCGTGGAGGGGAGTAGAGTGAGATGAGAGGGGAGAGGCAGGAGAGTGCGTGGAGGGGAGTAGAGTGAGATGAGATGGGAGAGGTAGGAGAGTGCGTGGAGGGGAGTAGAGTGAGATGACAAGGCAGGAGAAGATTGTGGACGGTGAGTGCCGCCTTCAAAGCGTCAAACTAAAACGACTTGTGGTGGTTTTCTTCACGCAGATAACCGCATCGTGGTTGTTCCTGGCAACGCTCTTCACGTGATCCGAGGCAAGAAACCCGAGTTGAAGCGTTGGCTCGGCAAGGACTCGTCGCCTCTGCTCAGAGAGCTGGAAAAGAAGCAACTCCTCTCCGCGGAGATTCTCTCCAGAGCCCGGAGCATTTCCTGCGAACTGGAGCGTGCGGGTTTCCTGCTCGACCACTTCATCGACGGAGAGGAGAAGAAATGCCATCAGCTCCTGTGCACGCTGCAAGACCTCAGGAGCAGCTATCCGGAGGTCAACGTTTGGCTTGAGACTCTGGGTACGACGGCTGTGACCGCGGCATATAAGCCGGCGAGTTGCACTAAACGCGCGCGTTGCCAACGGTCCATTCTCTTGGTTCTTTCGGTAAAGTCACGTAGAAGGGAAATAATAAATAATAAAAATAAAACAATTAAAATAAAACATAATAAAATAATAAAAATAAAACATTATAAAATAATACAAATAAAACATAATAAAATAATAAAAATGAAACATTATAAATAATAAAATAAAACGTAATAAAATAATAAATAATAAAACATTATAAAATAATAAAAAGAAAACATTCGGCCACAACGCAAGCAGCCGTCCTCAGGTGAAGAACAGGTCTGTCGGGAAGACAGCGTCTGAATGAGCACCACCAGGCTTGGCAGCGTATATACTTAAATATATACTTAAATATACGCTGCCAAGCTTGGTGGTGCTCATTCAGACGCTGTCTTTCCGACAGCCCTGTTCTTCTGAACAACACCAAGCTTGGCAGCGTATATTTAAGTATATATTTAAGTATATACGCTGCCAAGCCTGGTGGTGCTCATTCAGACGCTGTCTTTCCGACAGACCTGTTCTTCTGAACACCACCAAGCTTGGCAGCGTATATTTAAGTATATATTTAAGTATATACGCTGCCAAGCTTGGTGGTGTTCATTCAGACGCTGTCTTTCCGACAGCCCTGTTCTTCTGAACAACACCAAGCTTGGCAGCGTATATTTAAGTATATATTTAAGTATATACGCTGCCAAGCCTGGTGGTGCTCATTCAGACGCTGTCTTTCCGACAGACCTGTTCTTCTGAACACCACCAAGCTTGGCAGCGTATATTTAAGTAGATATTTAAGTATATACGCTGCCAAGCTTGGTGGTGCTCATTCAGACGCTGTCTTTCCGACAGCCCTGTTCTTCTGAACAACACCAAGCTTGGCAGCGTATATTTAAGTATATATTTAAGTATATACGCTGCCAAGCTTGGTGGTGTTTCATTCAGACGCTGTCTTTCCGACAGCCCTGTTCTTCTGAACACCACCAAGCTTGGCAGCGTATATTTAAGTATATATTTAAGTATATACGCTGCCAAGCCTGGTGGTGCTCATTCAGACGCTGTCTTTCCGACAGACCTGTTCTTCTGAACACCACCAAGCTTGGCAGCGTATATTTAAGTATATATTTAAGTATATACGCTGCCAAGCTTGGTGGTGCTCATTCAGACGCTGTCTTTCCGACAGCCCTGTTCTTCTGAACAACACCAAGCTTGGCAGCGTATATTTAAGTATATATTTAAGTATATACGCTGCCAAGCTTGGTGGTGCTCATTCAGACGCTGTCTTTCCGACAGCCCTGTTCTTCTGAACACCACCAAGCTTGGCAGCGTATATTTAAGTATATATTTCAGTATATACGCTGCCAAGCTTGGTGGTGTTTCATTCAGACGCTGTCTTTCCGACAGCCCTGTTCTTCTGAACACCACCTAAGCTTGGCAGCGTATATTTAAGTATATATTTAAGTATATACGCTGCCAAGCTTGGTGGTGCTCATTCAGACGCTGTCTTTCCGACAGACCTGTTCTTCTGAACACCACCAAGCTTGGCAGCGTATATTTAAGTATATATTTAAGTATATACGCTGCCAAGCTTGGTGGTGCTCATTCAGACGCTGTCTTTCCGACAGACCTGTTCTTCTGAACAACACCAAGCTTGGCAGCGTATATTTAAGTATATATTTAAGTATATACGCTGCCAAGCTTGGTGGTGCTCATTCAGACGCTGTCTTTCCGACAGACCTGTTCTTCTGAACACCACCAAGCTTGGCAGCGTATATTTAAGTATATATTTAAGTATATACGCTGCCAAGCTTGGTGGTGCTCATTCAGACGCTGTCTTTCCGACAGACCTGTTCTTCTGAACACCACCAAGCTTGGCAGCGTATATTTAAGTATATATTTAAGTATATACGCTGCCAAGCTTGGTGGTGCTCATTCAGACGCTGTCTTTCCGACAGCCCTGTTCTTCTGAACAACACCAAGCTTGGCAGCGTATATTTAAGTATATATTTAAGTATATACGCTGCCAAGCTTGGTGGTGTTCATTCAGACGCTGTCTTTCCGACAGCCCTGTTCTTCTGAACACCACCAAGCTTGGCAGCGTATATTTAAGTATATATTTAAGTATATACGCTGCCAAGCTTGGTGGTGCTCATTCAGACGCTGTCTTTCCGACAGACCTGTTCTTCTGAACACCACCAAGCTTGGCAGCGTATATATTTAAGTATATATTTAAGTATATACGCTGCCAAGCTTGGTGGTGCTCATTCAGACGCTGTCTTTCCGACAGACCTGTTCTTCTGAACACCACCAAGCTTGGCAGCGTATATTTAAGTATATATTTAAGTATATACGCTGCCAAGCTTGGTGGTGCTCATTCAGACTGCTGTCTTTCCGACAGCCCTGTTCTTCTGAAACACCACCAAGCTTGGCAGCGTATATTTAAGTATATATTTAAGTATATACGCTGCCAAGCTTGGTGGTGCTCATTCAGACGCTGTCTTTCCGACAGACCTGTTCTTCTGAACACCACCAAGCTTGGCAGCGTATATTTAAGTATATATTTAAGTATATACGCTGCCAAGCTTGGTGGTGTTCATTCAGACGCTGTCTTTCCGACAGCCCTGTTCTTCTGAACACCACCAAGCTTGGCAGCGTATATTTAAGTATATATTTAAGTATATACGCTGCCAAGCTTGGTGGTGCTCATTCAGACGCTGTCTTTCCGACAGCCCTGTTCTTCTGAACACCACCAAGCTTGGCAGCGTATATTTAAGTATATATTTAAGTATATACGCTGCCAAGCTTGGTGGTGCTCATTCAGACGCTGTCTTTCCGACAGCCCTGTTCTTCTGAACACCACCAAGCTTGGCAGCGTATATTTAAGTATATATTTAAGTATACGCTGCCAAGCTTGGTGGTGCTCATTCAGACGCTGTCTTTCCGACAGCCCTGTTCTTCTGAACACCACCAAGCTTGGCAGCGTATATTTAAGTATATATTTAAGTATATACGCTGCCAAGCTTGGTGGTGCTCATTCAGACGCTGTCTTTCCGACAGCCCTGTTCTTCTGAACACCACCAAGCTTGGCAGCGTATATTTAAGTATATATTTAAGTATATACGCTGCCAAGCTTGGTGGTGCTCATTCAGACGCTGTCTTTCCGACAGACCTGTTCTTCTGAACACCACCAAGCTTGGCAGCGTATATTTAAGTATATATTTAAGTATATACGCTGCCAAGCTTGGTGGTGCTCATTCAGACGCTGTCTTTCCGACAGCCCTGTTCTTCTGAACACCACCAAGCTTGGCAGCGTATATTTAAGTATATATTTAAGTATATACGCTGCCAAGCTTGGTGGTGCTCATTCAGACGCTGTCTTTCCGACAGCCCTGTTCTTCTGAACACCACCAAGCTTGGCAGCGTATATTTAAGTATATATTTAAGTATATACGCTGCCAAGCTTGGTGGTGCTCATTCAGACGCTGTCTTTCCGACAGACCTGTTCTTCTGAACACCACCAAGCTTGGCAGCGTATATTTAAGTATATATTTAAGTATATACGCTGCCAAGCTTGGTGGTGCTCATTCAGACGCTGTCTTTCCGACAGCCCTGTTCTTCTGAACACCACCAAGCTTGGCAGCGTATATTTAAGTATATATTTAAGTATATACGCTGCCAAGCTTGGTGGTGCTCATTCAGACGCTGTCTTTCCGACAGCCCTGTTCTTCTGAACACCACCAAGCTTGGCAGCGTATATTTAAGTATATATTTAAGTATATACGCTGCCAAGCTTGGTGGTGCTCATTCAGACGCTGTCTTTCCGACAGCCCTGTTCTTCTGAACACCACCAAGCTTGGCAGCGTATATTTAAGTATATATTTAAGTATATACGCTGCCAAGCTTGGTGGTGCTCATTCAGACGCTGTCTTTCCGACAGCCCTGTTCTTCTGAACACCACCAAGCTTGGCAGCGTATATTTAAGTATATATTTAAGTATATACGCTGCCAAGCTTGGTGGTGCTCATTCAGACGCTGTCTTTCCGACAGCCCTGTTCTTCTGAACACCACCAAGCTTGGCAGCGTATATTTAAGTATATATTTAAGTATATACGCTGCCAAGCTTGGTGGTGCTCATTCAGACGCTGTCTTTCCGACAGCCCTGTTCTTCTGAACACCACCAAGCTTGGCAGCGTATATTTAAGTATATATTTAAGTATATACGCTGCCAAGCTTGGTGGTGCTCATTCAGACGCTGTCTTTCCGACAGCCCTGTTCTTCTGAACACCACCAAGCTTGGCAGCGTATATTTAAGTATATATTTAAGTATATACGCTGCCAAGCTTGGTGGTGCTCATTCAGACGCTGTCTTTCCGACAGCCCTGTTCTTCTGAACACCACCAAGCTTGGCAGCGTATATTTAAGTATATATTTAAGTATATACGCTGCCAAGCTTGGTGGTGCTCATTCAGACGCTGTCTTTCCGACAGCCCTGTTCTTCTGAACACCACCAAGCTTGGCAGCGTATATTTAAGTATATATTTAAGTATATACGCTGCCAAGCTTGGTGGTGCTCATTCAGACGCTGTCTTTCCGACAGCCCTGTTCTTCTGAACACCACCAAGCTTGGCAGCGTATATTTAAGTATATATTTAAGTATATACGCTGCCAAGCTTGGTGGTGCTCATTCAGACGCTGTCTTTCCGACAGCCCTGTTCTTCTGAACACCACCAAGCTTGGCAGCGTATATTTAAGTATATATTTAAGTATATACGCTGCCAAGCTTGGTGGTGCTCATTCAGACGCTGTCTTTCCGACAGCCCTGTTCTTCTGAACACCACCAAGCTTGGCAGCGTATATTTAAGTATATATTTAAGTATATACGCTGCCAAGCTTGGTGGTGCTCATTCAGACGCTGTCTTTCCGACAGACCTGTTCTTCTGAACACCACCAAGCTTGGCA